AGCAGCTTTTATTTATTTATAAAATACTCCGAGATGAATGTTTACAGTGGAAAAATCGGTTTTGACAGTTCAACGTAAGCAGCGTGCAATATTTTTGGTGATTTACTGAAACGATAATACAGTCGTATTTACCAATAAAGATGTGATGCATGTTTATCAACACTGGGCAACAACTAGTGTGACTTTTTGAATTTAGAGCAATCAATATCATTCATGTTTATAACCATCAGCTACATTGTCTCTGACTTTCTTCAAGGCATGTGTTATGTTTAGAGACACAATTTTATTTTGGGTAATACAAACCATGTAACTATCCAATTGCCAAACTGCATGGATTAAAACTATAATGTTTGTTGACACAAAATTCAAATGCATGTGTGATTTAAGGTTTTTATTGATGCATAGTGACTAATTTGATAGTGGAGATTTGTGAGAAATAAGTCTTAAATGTTTTTAATTGTTTTTCAGCATATCAACATTTTGACAATCATTTCAGCTTTGTGTTAGAATTCATTTGCAGCCTGCAGCAATTCGAATGCATCCTTGTTTCCTACAATTTGTGCAAATTTATTGTGAAATTACACAACAGAGTCAGTCAATAGTTTTAAAAAGTCGGTCGACTGGAAGCGTACATTTCATTTCCACCAACAACCATAGGTCAACTTAACATGCACTGTGCATCAAAAAAACCCGATTATAAGCGACCAACACTATCAACTGACAATACATTCAATTGTGATATTTAACTATCATCACATGTCACATAACAGAAAAATCTGTGTTGTACAACATGCATCATTAAACAACATAATTTTAGTATCACATTTTCAACAAGATACCAGTTTATGTTCAACCTTATATTTTCAAATACAACTTAAAGGAGAAGACAAAAGAAACAACATAATGCTCCCAGTTGAAGAGGATCCACAAATGTAGGAGAATGGAATTCACAATTTTATTCCACTTTGATTCTCCAGCAAAGTGATATAGTTAACCAAAATAATGTTAGCATTCAACTCACTTTTTCACAGGCTGTGTAAACTGGATTTCTTTCTGTGGTTCTACATTTTCTTTATTCATTTCTACAATTTTTACTTTGGATTCGTCTGATGACCCTATTCCCATTTTGGCTGAAACAGAAAACAAACAGGAAGGGTAAAACACAAATGTATCTCCATTCAATGGTTGTAATCTATTAATCTCAACTCTTTAAAGCAGAGCATTCCACACATTGAAATGACGTGGGACAGTAATGTCAATATTACAAAGCC